CTTGGTACATCTGATTATGGAGGATTCAAGTCAAGGTGGAGATTTGTTGAAATATGCCTTGAATCTGCGTCGGTCGATACAGGTGTCATGTATCGGTCGATCTGAATGGACACGTATCGATCGATACAAGAGCTTGTGTATCGATCGATATTGTCAAATCTGAGAAAATATGGAAAGTTTCATTAAACGCTTTCTTATATATACCCTTAGGGTTTTACCCTATTCTGAAAGCACGAGTTGTACTCTGAAAACTTGTCTCCATCAATAAAGTATTCTATTTGCCCGTGGACGTAGCCGTTAGGGGAAAACCACGTTAAATCTCTGTGTCTTTCTTTTCTATTCATCTATCTATTAATTTATATCTTCTCATGTCTGTCACAACAGTAAGTATAAATAAAAGAAATACATAGGATGGGAACCAATGCCGATGTTTACCATCTTTATGAGACCATCATCAATCATCGCAAGACCCTCCTGGAAAAAAGTATAGAATGACAAGAGTTTCAGTACCACTAAACATCGTATGTATTAAAACATACTAAATGGAGAACAAACGGCATACATACTTATTTGCATACTTTTCATCTGCAGGGAACTACGTATACGGTATACCCTTTTAGGAGCTTCAGTTCAATTGAGTCTGAACCATGGCTTCAGTTTATAAGCCAACGCAGATGTAAGACAAACCAATTCAGCTTCAGAAAGACAGAATACTGGGAAATATAGGTTATAGTGGCCCAATACAAGATAACACATGATAATTTCCTGAATCTCCATATTGTACATAGCATGACAAAACCGAGTGATTCTGGTAATCAGAGAAATATGTAACAAGTAAGATTTTGAGAAGACAAAAAAGGTGGCTGTATATTCAATATATAATAACTTTCTAATGTGTGTCAATTTCGACAGCCTTTAAGAATGTCAACAACTGATGCCAAAAATAATCCAAAAACTCTATCTCTCTTCTCTAGCCTATGAAGCTGATACTCCTGTAGCTTCCTTGGGTATCAAGAAAAGAAACAATACAGGTATATAAGTGCAAAACACTTGAAGGGCTAAGCCCGCAAACATATTCTCAAAGGACCCTGAAGAGATTCCAAGAAGTGAAGCCAATCCTGCTCCCATGAATGACCCAACTGTGTTACCAAGGTTGTTTATCGACATAAACAGCGCAAACAGTGTTCCTTCAATCCCAGGAGGACATAGACGACCAGACAATATCAAGAACGGCATGAATCTGACATTAAGCAAAAGCATGTATATGAGTTTACAGTTCTTAAATGAACATTTAATTAAAAAACCAAAGAAGGAAGGCAGCAACGTACTTGAGTTGATTGATGGCATCACCTAAAGCTGATCCGAAGAGAACCATGGTCTTGTCTGATACTCCATAACCCAAATTTGTTCTAGCCACCAAGACCATATCAAGGAGTATCGTTATAGACAGACCGATGTGAGCAAACCTGGGAAGATGTTTTTGTTCATTAGATCCTTGAAACGAACTCTTGATGTGCGTGGGACATATTTAGACTTACAAGAGAGATTTGCGTAGAGTCATATTTGTCAGATAGCGGTTGTAGATAAAAGTTCCAAGCATGAGACCTAACCAACCAACAACACGGGCTGTTCCTAGGAAAGAAGCGTCTAACTGCAACACCTCGGTTTGGTAATAGAACATGACAGTAGAGAGATTTGGCACAGTGATATGCGCTATGAAAAACCACGCCATTGGTCTGAAAAAACATAGAAAATATCAAATAAGAAAGAAACACTTCAAGAACTTATTAAAGCGACCAATCAAGAGCGCGTTTGTTATTATTACCTGAAAATGATCGGTTGTTTGAACGCACGGCATAATTCAATAGCGGCAGCTTTCAGTGACTGGAACAACTTTGAAACCAAAGACTTTGATGGCTTCTTCTGTGTCTCACTCTTACCATTAGAAGGTCCTTTTTTACCTTTCTTCTGCCCTTTCCTTCTTCTCGTACTGGACTTCTTCGTGTCTGGATATGTATCATTGCTCATCTTGCTCTTCTCTTCAAACTCGCTCGAGTCCAGCAACTCAGGCAATGGTTCACTGCCAGCAGGAATCTCTTCAACCAGAACACATGATAGTAGCTGTAAAGCAGGTAATACCGTGAAAAGGAGGAAGATTGTTTCTATGTTCAAGTTGTTCAATGCGTAGCCTCCTAACAGACTACCGCAGATTCCACCCACTGCCATAGCAAACCATGAGACAGACTGAAGATCTCCAGCAAATGAGGACCTGGTAAAGAATTAAACTAGTCATTAAGCTATGATCTTAATAGTGTGGATCCCAAAACTGAAAGAAAGATAGAAATCTTACTTTTCGATTCTTACAGCCTCAGCAATCATGGCATCTATTACAACATCAGCCATGGCTGATCCAAGATTCTGGATGGTCAAGAAAATCATTAGATACAGGCTGGAACTTCGGGAGGTTGAGTCTAGACCGAGCAAGAGCCATGGCACAAGAGAGAGAATTGTTGATATCACTAGATACGGTGTCCTCTTCTTCCCTCCGATTGGGATACAATCTGAGATGATTCTACAACAAAAAAAAAAAAAAAAAAATCAAAAAGAAAAAAGAACATGTAATCATTACTCTCATTGCCATTTAGCTTGATTTATGTTATAAGACTTTGAGCTATCACTAGTGATGAAGAATCATATACCCGTATAATGGTTTAATGCTCCATGGAAAGAAGGCGACAGAAAAGACGAACTGAGAAGCTGATGGTGATAACTGAAGCCTGTCTTTGAGTTGGTACGAAACTGCTGTCCACACGAACGATCTAAATCCCTATTTTTTGTATTAAAAAACAGTAAAATCAACTTGAGTATCACCCATTCCATTTTCTATAGCTAATCGTATGTAGATAGAATTATATGTAATTAATCAACTTGAGTATCTATCACGCAATGCCATTTTCTATAGCTAATAGTAATACTAAGCTTGATACATGACTAACTCACCAATGAAATGTAATTAAGATCTAAAAAAATGTACAATGATCGTCAAATCATCTAACGTAAGTCTGAGAAAACAGAGGAAAACGCAGTGAAATTTTTGATAAAAATAACGTGTCGAAGATTCCAATTAACAAATCAGAAGTTTCTGAATATCTAATCGTGTTTTGATTCACGAGACAACGATTTGGTGCAAGTAGCAGAACAACAACGGAAATTAATCACCATTTCTGTTTTGGTTTGAAAGAATCGCCATTTTCAGATTGAAAAATACAGAGGGGGAGAGGAAACCTGAGTGAAGTAGATGAGGCAAACGAGCCATAGAAACGCGACGCCAAACGCCGATCGCAGCTGCTTCAACCAATGTATCATCTTCTTCTTCTTATTGCAGTAATCAGACAGAAGAGCTGCCTCGGATCATCAAAAAAACTCTTTCGTTTGTATTTCTCCTGGAAATTGTGATCTCTATTCCTTTTTAATAACGAATTTTTCTTTTTTCCCCCAGATTTATGGCTTCCTCCTCCGGACGTTAAATTGTTTGATTTGTTTCTGTTGACTGACGTAAAGAATGACGATGGGGATATCTTCGTCTTTTCACCCACCAAAAACTTCTTAGGCTTAAGACACGTTGTTCAACCTATGGAATTTAAACACGTCATCTGTAAGGACCCATTCAACATCGACTGTTCTTCTTTTCATCTCCTTGTGACTTTGACAAAGACTTCATTCCTCAATTAAACTTCTTAATTGTGGATCCTTTTGATAAAAATACTTTGGAAGGAAATCTTTAAAAGCAGGTTTTATTCTCTTTTTAGGCTTTCATCTTGTTATTATGTATTTCTATAAGTTTGACACTTAGATCATTATTTTTTTATTAATAGATTGTCTCTAGATTTTCATCTTCTTTTTATTTATATCAAATCTACTAAAAATAATTTTAATAATATGTTTTAATCAGTATTTTATTTTTAATCCAGTCAAACTGTTGACATGATTTTTTAAAATAATTTATTTTATTGAAAATATATAATTTTGATTACAAATCAAATATATTTACATTATTTATCAAATTCATACCAATCAAAATAAATAAGACTGCATCGCACATATTGATTTTTTTTCTCATTTTTAATCACCAAGCTTAAAGTTTAGACTAAAAATAATGGAAACACAATTAAAAATCAATATATAATCTTTTTTTTTTGTCATCAATATACACAGATTCTAAAAATTCCCTACAAACCAAACTAGTAACAAATTAAACAATAAATATTTAGTGAAAATACATAATAATAATTTGAGTTTGATAAAAAAATTAATTAACAAATATTAATGTAGTTAAATATACATAAAAACCATATATATTTCAAAAAATGTAAAAATTAATTAAAATAAATTCATTCACAGTGTTATTCTTCACATTTCATAAAAAGACATTTACAATGTAGGAGAAATCTCACATAAAAATTTTGTCACCAAGTTTAAATATAGAGAAATAAACCCATTTTTTATGGAGAATAAAAAAAATTATTAATACATAATTAAAATAAAGATTTTGTAAGATTCAGTCTGAGAATAACAAAATATAACAAATAAAACCACAAAATAGTGATAATATTTAATAGAATATGAGTTTGGTGAAACATTTAGTCAACAAATATTAGTTTAGAAAAAATACATAATATAAGTCCAAAAAATACAAACTAGAAAAATAAATAAGAAAAAAATCATAAGGATGAAATACATTTACACTCGTACGTTTATCAAACTCATATCAACAAAAGTAAAAAAAGAAGTGAACCACACTTACAAATGTATTTAATCAATCGTAACTTAAATAATCACAATGCCATTGAGCAATTTAATTAATCATAACGATTCTAACACTCGATATCCTAACATCTTGTTGTATAACTAAAACTCGCATAGAAATAGTGGTTCACAAATAATATAGCCAAGCTAAAAAGAAATGTCAATCCAAATACTCAACGAAGTCAATATTAAATCCCGGGCAGAGAGCGAGCCAACCATAGTGTAATCATATAATATAAAAGTTGCTCCAATATTAACATTATACAAAACAAAGATATCAAAACTATTTGATTTTTCAATTATTACTACAAGTTTTACACAACTTAATAAGGGTATAAAGGCTATTTTGAATCAGCAATAAGAGGGTGCGTACTGGTGTCGATACACAAATGGTTTCACAGCATGAAAGTTACCGGAAGGGCGGTTATAAGTGAATTTGATTCCATTATTGGCTTGGTTTAGGTGGTTGCAAGAAGTATGGAAGCTGCTTATGGGTCTTGCAAGACAAGCGTCCCAACGTTCGCTCTCTGGCATTGTCTCAGCTACTGTGTAGACACCTTTTGTGTTTGTGAAAGCTTGGTAGTTCACAACTTCTCCAGATTTGGTTATGCAGAGTACTGCAACCTCAGCTCCTGTAAAATATACAAACACAAAATTGAACACATGCATTAAAAAAACAGCTCGAAAATGCATGTGAATGATCCTCCAATTATCAAAGATAATCTACTAGGGCAAAGATGATACGTTTTCAGCTTCAAAGTAGTAAAACACATAGTCACATAGAGCTAAATGGCTTCCTAAGGCACGTATGACACGAGACACATAACAATCATGTCCACTATGAATTTCAGTAATTTCAAATTTTGAGATTTCGACAAGACATTTTGGGAACATAAAGCAAAGGAACGAGAACACAAGGATGGATATACTAACTACAAAAGTTCCAGAGACATAATATATTACACAAACAGAATCGCTTTCTTCCTTCTTTCCCGTGATTAAGAAACTAAATATGAATAAGAAAACTTAACAAAGATTATTTCATTTAAGCATAAGATATAATCTGCATAAACTGCAGACAGACAACTCACCTCAGATATGAATAACTTGCTACGAGAAAGAAGAACAAACAATAAAGTAAGGTTCAGGCTATAACGTTGGCTAACACATTATTTGCAGATCAAAATTAATCTTCTTCGTGTCTATAAGTTCAATTTACATTAAAACATAGCGCACTAAGTGATTACACTCACACCAACTTGATGATATGTGAGAAATCCTATTGAAATAAACAGTGGTCACTGCTAGTAATCCATCAGATCAACACTCTTCCTTGACACCAACTATTAAAAAGTGAATTTAATGTTGTATATTTTACATTTACATAATCAGACTTTGGTTTTTTCAAGATAATCGAACACAGAAAGAGAGACTAACCTTCAAGGACATGATCCTCTGGTCCGATTGAAGAATCGGCACAAACATCGCATACAACTCTACCGCGAATCTCGCCAGTCCACGCTTCGACACCAGAAACCTCGATGATCCCAACCATCACGACCAAACCCATCACAAGTTTACACATCAGCGAATCCATGAACAGCGATTTATTTTATCTCTTCGCGCTTCTCCCAGAGACAAAGGACACGCGAACTCAGAACAAAAACTTATTACTGAAATGGCCGGAGGAGCAACACAACACACCTACTTCAACAATTTTTGTCGGTTGTTGTTATCAAAACGGCAGCGTTTATATAAAACTTTTAGTATCGTTTTGATAAAACTGATAGAATAAAGGCTAAGTCTGTGATAACTGAAAGAGTATAAGCCCCTCTAATACAATATTCATAATCGTCCCTTTGCTCTCGGAAAAGTAAAACATAATTATTTGCTGAAATCATTGGAGCAATCAACTCTTAATAACAGTGTATTACAAACGTCTACGTTGACCAGTCGCTGCCTTAATTACTCCGTCAAGAAAAACTCAGATTTCAAAACCAATCCAAAGAAGACCTAATTGTTCAGTGCGTGTCCTCTTCACAACTCCATCGCAATAACAACAGCTTCTGCTCGACTTTGAATCGGTAAAGTTCTAAACTTTGATGAGATTGTGACCCATTTTGAGAGATTTACTTCTTTGTTGGTCGAATGTGACTAGTCAAGTGTTGGAATCCAAGAAATGTCCTTCTCATTTTTAACTTTTAAATCACTTGTCGTTAGGGTTTCGTTTTCCCATTTGTCTTTCTCTCTCTCTCTCTCGCTTTAGATTGATTTGATAGTAAAGTTTGAATCTTTTTTTGTTATGACATTAAGATTGCTTCAAGTTGCAACCTTCTATTTTGATCAGTCTGTTTAAACAACTTAAAAGCGAAGCTAGTGACAATAACAGTTATGTGCTTATTCAGTTGTGTCTTTGTCTCTGTAGATACTACATACCTTTTGGATGCTTTTCTTCCCATCTTATTAGTATGGCTTGGTTGCTGGATTAAAACCATTGTTTTACGGTGCTTTGATTGCGCTTTTAGATTTAAACTTGTATGTATACTTGTAGCGTTCTTGAAAGTCTAAAGAGTTATGTTGTGCAGTAACACTATAGGTTTATTCCTCTAGATTGTGCTTGCAAATTGCTTGTCAAGAGCTTTAGCAACATCGACTTGGTCATATTATGAATTATAAGTTCCCCATTTCTGCTTCAAAGTTTGCTAACTCCGAAACTTGATCTACTAACTCTTTGCAAACCATTAATATCTTATAAAAGAATCTGCTAAACTCTGTTCGAAAAGTGGCATGTTTGTTTTGTTTCTGCTTTTTTGATATAATAAGGTGACTAATTATTTTAAATTGATGCATTGTTTGCTTGTTTCAGATTTGTTTTCAGACCTTTGAAGCCGAACAAAACTCTAGCAGTTATCCTTTAAGAGAGTCGCAGAGTGTGAAAGAAATCAAACAGAATTCATAATGGCTCAGAAGCTTGAAATGATCAGAGGTGGAGGAGGATCAATCAAAATAGGAGCAACAGGAACAGTCGCAACTCTAATGACTCGTGAGCTAGACTCCATGAAACAGCCTTCGCCTCAGACTCCCACAACAAGACCCGTTAGAACAACTATTCCTGTCTCTGTAGACTGTGGCACATCTTCGTCCACTCCAAGAAGACCAAAACCAAGAAAATCGTCAGACGAAGCTAGCAGCAGCAATGCTAGAACACCAAAGGGTCACAGCACCAAAAGCACTCATCAGCTTCCAAATGTTGGGTCTGATAACCTTAAAACACCAAAGGGTCACAATGCAAAAAGCAGTACTCATCAGCTTCCAATGCTTGGCTCTGATAATGTATCGTTGCAAGGAACTCCTAGAAGAGAGAAGAGAATGAACATTGTGGATATTGTGGATGTGAAATGCGGGAATCCAGATCGAGCTTGGGCTAATCCCATAACCAGCCGACTCAAGAAGCTTGGATTCTCTAAACTCAATGAGAGCATTGGTTAAAGATGCACTCTGCTATGCAAACTTCGCCTTAAATTATACTCTTGCCCAACCGGTTTGTTTATCTATGAACCGGTTTAAACCAAAATGAGAATGTGATACACTATTTCTTTTCTTTTGTCCAAACCAACAATGTAATTGTAAACGGAGCTTTCGGTTTTTATTAATCACTAGTTTATCCTCCGCGCAAGCGCGGGGCCGGGATCATTGATTTTTGCTTGTATTTTTTCTGGTTGTTGGTTTAGTAGGTTATTCTAACAATACCAAATAATGATGAAATAGAAAGAATGTATCAAGAATGTAAAGTGAAAATATTGTATATATAATGCGTTAAATGTTATTTATATGTGAAGTAAGTTTTTTAGGGATAACTAAATTATAATATAGTTTCTACTGTATAAAAATAGGTGTCTATCTTCTTCTTTTTTTATGTTGAAAATAGTTTTTATATCGGAGATCAAAACTTGATATAATTATTTATTTATAGTATTTATATTTGTACTAAACGATTTATCAATTTGAAAATAACTTTAATTTAAACTAATATTTGTTGTTTGGGTTTCAATAGATAGGTTTGGATATGTTTTTTTGTAAGTTTGGATCTTTTTTATGAATAATATGGCATTTTTATTTACGGCGTCATTGACTGTGGAAATCCATTTGCCGGAGTCTGTTAAAAATGAAATTATAGTAACTATTAAAAATTGAAAAAAAAATTACATAGTTATTTTATAAATAACAAAAAATACATAAACTTTTTTTTTTATTTCACATACATAATTTTTTGAAAATATATATTAGGAAATATGTTCTAACATAAAATATATATTAGGACATGATAATGCCGCGTGTGGCTCTTTTTTTGTTTTTGTTTTTGTTTTTTGGGCTGTTTGTTTTTTGATCTATTTTTAATTGTTTTTGGGTTTGAATTCGTCAAACTTTAGGATTTTTTCTACTATTTTGCGCTTTAAAAAATAAGTCAAGAGGTACAAAACATATAAACATTAAAACTAAAAAGTCCATATGATAATAATTCAAACGAAAAAAAACTAAAATATATAACAGCTACATGGTTTGAACCCACATGCTTACATATCTAATTAGATGCCCTATACCACTTTACTAAAGTGTATTCATTGTTCATAATCATTTAAAAAATATATAAACTTTTAAAATTTAAACGCGTAGTACCTACAAACTTGCTGACGTGTACAGCTTTAGGAGCCTTAGAAGTGAACTATTATAGTATAGATTTTTTTTGGCATCTTTCTTTACCCACAGTTTTTAAAAGAATTGCGTTACATATTTATTAGAAATTCCTAAAGATTGTGGTTTTACTTTATGTTAAAAAATATATATATCGATTTGTTAACCCTGAATTGAATGCATATTAGTATTTTTTGTTTTCTTCTACATAGTAGTAGTATATTTTCTTCTTCTAAATAGTAGTATCTGTCATTTATAAATAAAGCCGTAACACGTATACATGTGTTTGATTATGGAATTAATTACTCCTAAGATCATTTTTACACTTTTCAATTGCATGTAAAGTCACATTGGACCAGAAGCATACTTTTGTCTGATGCAAAGACATCTACACTCTCCAATCAAACACAATCGAATCATCTAACCAATTTACACCAAACCGATCAAATCAGATTAGACCAAAGATGAAAAATAGATGGGTTCCTCACAATCTCACCCACAATAAGTCGTCTTTCCTCTGCAAACCCTTAAATCACATACGGTGATTTTCAGTCTCCATTTCCGATCTCTTTCTGATTTCGTCGGTCATGACTAAGCGCTAAATCGACAAATCAACATACCACCTCGCTTCTTCTTCTTCTTCTTCTTCCCGTACATCAACAGACCACATCGACATGCAAGGTCAGTTCTTTTTAAGTTGAAAAAAATCCATTTTTCGTTACTTTTGGACCATTAGCTAATGAATCTGGTTATAAATCAGAAAACAAAGAGGCGGACCAACGGCTCCCACCGAAATTTTTCGCTACTAACAGATTTCCTGACGCTCGCCTAAACATATATTCAAAACCAGACATTCTTTTCGTCATCAGACATCTTCTTGATGGATCCCTAGAGTTCGAGAAAATAAGAGCTTCTTGTTTCGAGAAGTTATTCGACATACCTGCTCGCCAAAGCCCTGTGTCTTGTAAAATGATCCACTATTTCCTCTCTCGTCAGCTTGTCGTTGCAAACAAGTACACCCTCTGGTCCGTCTACAGTGGCAATCCACTCAGATTTAGACTACAAGAGTTTGGTACTGTAACAAGCCTACCATGCGGTGAGTTTCTGGCGAAATGGGACCACTTCGCGAAAGAAAAGGAAGTACGTCACAAAAATTCTTATTGCATCGAACTCTTAGGCAAAAAGAAGTTCACAACAATCAAAGACATACAAATGAAGTTAGAGACAGAACTTGACATGCCAGGTTCAATAAAGCTTCGCTTTGCCTTGATTATGATTGTCAATCGTGTTCTTATTTCTCACCAACAAAATACCCGTCCAACTCTGAAATATGTGAGGATGGTTGAAGATGTTGACAAGTTTCTTGAGTTCCCATGGGGCATGGAGTCACTCCTTAAGACCATCACATGCATGAAACCTCTTAGATATGAAGATCCTATTGGTACCCTTGTTCGTTAGCTCAAGCAGGATTCATTCCATCTAAAAGGTTTTCCGCTTGCATTACAATTGGTTGTGTTCCAAGCTATCCCACAACTGTTGACTAAGATACTTGATCCATTTGACAATCGATCAATCATGGACCAAGAAGATGATTTTCTTCCAAATCACCCCTCCATCAACCTTATTGACACACAACTGATGGAAATTGAGCCTAATGTGAGATATTTTTTTTTATGTATATTCTTTACATTTATTGTTTTTAGAATTAATTTTATCAATCTTACCCATCAATCTCTTGCATTTTCAGCTTTTGGTTACACTTATTATACCCATCGAAAGTCAACAACAGTCTGGTTGGGGGTTGTGGCCAGATTCTATTACTGATACCCATATTGAATATATGGAGCAACTGATTGCTGACCATCACCAATTTACCAAGAGCGGATGGCCTGGTGGAGATACTTCAGATTCATTATTTTTTCTCCTATCTAAGAGTGAGAAACCTGCCCACAGTAGGAAAACTCGAAATCAAAAATCAACTATAACTAAGATAAAATTCAAGCCTAGACATGTTATAAAGAAAACATTTCCAAGCAGAAAGCAGAGACGTATCAGCAACTATTTCAACCGCAACTCCACGTCCCGCACCTCCACGTCTCGCACCTCAAACGCACAACTATTGGAGATTGTATATGATCTCACAACTAGAGTAGCCAGCCTGGAATCTGAGCAAAAGGATCTGCGCAAGATGCTTAGAAGAAGGAGAACACATCACCACCGAGGACTCTCAACCTTTACCAAACTCATCAATGGCCAGAAGAAAAAAAGAAGAACTAATCAAGCGTGTGAATCTGTACCAGCCAATTTTACCACTGATGTCCCAACAACCACTGTAAGCTTCCGTTCTATCTTCAAACAAACACTTTTTTAAAAAAATACTCACTGTCTTACATATATCAAAAGATGTCTCCTCATATGGCGGAAGATAATCCTTCATTTCACTCACCAATTGCAAGTCAATATGTTTTTCAGCACTACATATCTCCGGTCAACAAAGTTCCTCAACACATCTTTCATGAGCACAGCTCTCTTGACCCAATCTCTCTGCTTCGCGGCTCCACTGAACATATCTCCGCTAACCACAACTCCACTGACCACAACTCCCCTAACCACAACTCCCATGTCCACAACTCCCCTAACCACAACTCCCTTGGCTACAATTCCCCTCCCACGACTCCCCTGACCACAACTCCTCTAACCACAACTCTCCAAACAAAATTAACCATAACTCGACTGAAGACAACATCTCTAACCACAACTCCTCTAAACACACTTCGGAACAGCTGTCTTCTGTCCAAACTCTGAAATACAAGTCTCCAGGGACCACAACCCCACACCTGGTCACCAATTCAGGCCCCTCCTCCAGCCATTCCATTCAACCACCGTCTGCTATCTATGACATCAGTGCTCAACCAATATGGGTTTCCTCCATTCACTATGATTCTCCTAAGCCACCCCTCTTCCCTTCGGCCCCACAACGAATTATCCCCGAGACTTCTCCCACAAACAGCAGTGGATTTGCTGAACATGCTTCAACTGTCAACGCTTTTTCAGTAACCGCCTCATCAAAGGTTAACTTAGCACCCAACATAACGGTTGCCAACGTTCAGATACTTTATGCTAAAATAAATTATCATTGCAACATGGAAATCTATGATTGGCTACTTATCTGTTTTGTAAGAACAAGAAAGGCTCCAATGCATCATCTAACCAATGAAGAAACCCATCTAGCCAATGAGCTCTTTTGCTACCCTGCTATCCCAGCACCTGGCTTAATTACTCCCCTCCCCCAACCCTAGTGGGACCTTTTATTTGTACTCTATCAACAAACAATCAAGTGTAAGTCTTCAAAACTCCTTTCAAATTAGTTTCGAGTTGCATTAGTTTATTGTATCATACACAAACTAATTTCTTACGTCCAACAGCTTCCATATCACACCTTCCAAATTTGATTTCTCCAACAAATTCTTGTTGGAAGTGGCAGAACCATGTAGGTGGTGGAATGTACTTCCTCACCAAGCCCATACAATAACGAGCTCAGCCCAAGCGTGTTCAGGCCCAACAGAAGAGCCTTCCGGTAATCAGCAGTAAATTGAGCTTAGCTCGGCTAATTCCCGCGATTAACCGAGTTAAGAGCGTTTAAACAAGGAACTCGAATTAGCAGGCCGACCAAGACCCATTTGGTGAAAGCCTGCAAGAGTTACGATGAGTACGCTAGGTCAAGGTGTAACCGCTATAAAAGGGAGAGAGGAGCTGACGAGAAGGGGATCCGAAATTACACTCACTCTCAAGGCGGC